TTAATAAAATTGAATGACACTGACCGTAATCATCTGGGAAAGGTCACCAGCGCCTGCTAACTCCAGAACGATATTCAGCTCGTTTCCTTCTATAAACGAGTCCAAATACTTAATGACGTTTGGATGGTTCAGTTGCTGCAATCACAGAATGAATATAAAACATCACCAAACTCTGAAAAACAGAGACACTTGTTTGAGTTCAAAAACGCACGCTGCTAACCTTTAACAAGTCGATCTCTTTAATGCAGTCCTGCCGGGCTTTAGCATCCATCATTTCAAAGATCTGAGAAAACAACACAATATTACTTACAACATCCACCCAGACGCACGGTTGTGTCAAATATGGTCATTTAATGTTGAGCAATGTAAGATAAGGTCAAGTGCATTGCATTATGGACAGTTTTCTCAGGTTATACACTGCACATTTTGCATACATTTGCATTTAGTATACAAGCTGCAACAGTATTAGTAAAATGCAATTTAAAGACATGCTCACCTGTACTTTCTTTAATGCCACTTGCTGGTTGTTCAGTAAACAAGTGGCTTTATAAACCTCACTAAACTGACCGCGGCCGATCTTTTTCTCGATGAGGAAGTTGGACATCACCGAATAGAATCCATATCCTAACATGTTCCTCTGAGAGACAGAAAGAGGAACAGAAAGAGACAGTGAGAGTCAGAGTAGTGTGGTATTATCAGCATTATCACTGCGATGATTCATAAAAGCTTCTGTCTGCAGTTGTAATAACAGTGTGTGCGTAGGCAGCTGCACGTGTGTGTGTGTGTCGTTCTGTACCGGCACTGTGTAATTCTGATTCTGATCTTGAAGGCTGTTCTGCTCCATAATGACATTCCAGACCTGCAGGCAAACACAAAGGACAGAGCCAATCAAAAGGCCGACATTCGTAGCGTCTGCTTTATCAAACGGCTCGTTTCATTTCCAGATGGCTGCTTTGTTTAATTGTAGTTTTTCAGTAACGATAAAAACAATCCTGAGCCGTTCAAACAAAGCCTGAGATCAAAAAGCAGCTGTCAGTGCTTTAAAACAGCAGTGGATTATGACAGATGAGACCAACGTTAATAATTGAATTTTGTGGTGTAAATCATCCTGCATTTTTGTTTAAAATGTTGGGATCGATAAGATTGTTCATTTGATTTATTTCTTTTTGAGGAAAAGGAACGAAGCTATGCTCACCAAAGTGCCATTTATTTGATTAAGAATACAATTAAAACCGCAATATTGTGAAATATGATTATAACTTAAAATAAGTGTTTTCTATCTATTTTAATATCTTTTAAAAGGTTATTTATTTCTGTGATGCAAAGCGGAATTTCCCTCCAGCCTTCAGCGTCAAATGATCATTCAGAAATCATTCGAATATGCTGATTTGCTGCTCAAGAAATATT